AAATTGTAAGAAGGTTTTTAATGCTTGAGGAGGGATTAGTTTGTGAAAATTGTACAAAAGAGGGTAAAAAGTTGGATGCAGTTGATTTCAACATGATTAGAAAAGGCATGGAAGAAGAGTCAATCCTGGGTCAGGCAATTCTTTTTTAATAATAAAGGTTGATGGAAATTTATCAAAATAGAAGTAGGTCCTAAGCAATTTTATGGCAGGTGCCAAATATTGGTCATCCATTAATGGGAGTGTTATGTTGATATCAATTTTGTTTAGCTGCTCCTGGGCTTCAGCCATTGAAGGCAAGATTGGAAGGACAGGTGAAATTCATTCTCGTGGGATTACTCCTTGATATGTATCCTTAATTTTTTTAAATGTTTGAGAGATAGTTGGCGAGTCTCTATGTAATTGATCATCTGTAATATTAAGTTGGGACTTAAGTTCCTCCACACTTTCAGGAATGTGAGGCCTTTCATCCTGAACCAAGTTTTCGTTGATCCATTCTGCTCCTAATGGCAACTTGAAGAAGAACTTTTGTTTAAGCGTTTGGATGAAGTTTTTGACTTCCTCTTGTGATTGAATTGGCAAAGAAATAGAGTTGTTTTCGCTATACCAGTGGGCTGGTGGAAGTGGACGTTTAACTTGAATATAATCCATTGGGAGTCACCTGACTGCAAAGTTGTTGGATCTAAGAAGGTCTACAACTGAACAAATAGCTTCAGGGTTATTTTCTACTGGGAAGTGGTGTGCAAGCTCAAAGGGTAAGTCCATGTATGATGATGGAAGTGTTGATTTTGGTGGAGGAAAATTGAAGTAAGAGTCTGGCAGTTTAGTAGGAACAAAATAATAGTCTCTCAATTTGCTGGTAAGTTCTCCAAGATTTCTCAGGTCACTACGTTTGGTTAGGGGAAAGAGCATTTTGACTTCAGGTTTGAGGTCATTAGGGTTATCGGGAATTGGTGGTCTCTGAACGAAAAATGAGGCAGGAAGCTGGTCAAAGTTATAATATGCTTTGAAACTGTTTGCCACATCGGCTGTATTTCTGGGGAAGGTGATAGGAATAGCATATGGGAGCTTGATTTTGATTGAAGCCGGGATGTGATCAGGCAAGGTGAATAGCAATGGAAGTTTACTTTTGATGGCTTCTTCGCATTTGAGTAGGAGGGTTTTGTAGTCCAATTTTTCAGATGTAGGATCAATAAAGAATTTGAAACCATATTCCAGAAGTTGGACTATTTGCCAGTATTTAAAAGAGGCGAGGTCTGTGGACTTCAGAAAGGTAATGAATAAAGCTTTATTGATAATTATTCTTATTTTTTTCCAGGTTGTTCTGTTGATGTAGCCAATATTGTTGGCTTTTAGATAATTATCATGGAAACCTTTTTCCAGTTTCTCGTATTCAATTTGATATTGGCCCTTTAAAGAGATTTCCTTGGCAAAGGTCCTGAAAAAGCTACGGTCTCTATATTCAATTTTTGTCATTATGGCTTTGGTTGTTGATTTCATCTCGGAAGGGCCTTTCTCCCTTATTTTAAGGAGCCACTGAATGATGGCATCGATATTTCTTTTGCATTTGTCAACTTCTCTACAAAGTTCAAGGATTTTGGAGTGTTCATCCAGAGGATTGATTTTCTTAATATCTCCTTCAATTGTTGATGGTGTGTTGGATCTAGAAATAGTTTCAATGTTGTTGACTTTATCTGCCCAGGATTCGATGACTGTGGCTGGAGCTGACTCAATTTGTGAAGAAACGAAGGCTAGTGTGTTTTACTTATCAATTTCTATTTCTGTGCTATTATTAGGTGTTACAGATGTGAGGTGGCTAGTTTGGTTAGATTTATGCATGATGCTTGATCCTGCATGAGGGCTGATTTGATCTGCATTGCGGTCAGGGGTAGCTGCATGTGGTGTTTCATTTGAACAATCATCCTGTATTTCATTGTCGTTGCTCATTACCTCATTAGGAGCTGGAGTGTTTGGAGGAGGTCTGGGTGTTTCGGTTTTTTGCTTCAAGAAAAAAGTATTGTCTGTGCTAGAGAAGAGAATGTCGAGTCTGTTCTAAGGCATGTGTAGTTTATAATTTAGATGTTTTTTCATAATCTCTTTCATTAATTCAGTTCTATCTTCATCAGTTATCTCAAATATATTTTGAAAGTCGAAAAAGACATTGAGAGAGTCTGCTGGCATGGATCCAAGTAAGAGATGTTGACAATAATTATTGGTGTGGAGAATCTGGTTCTTTGGTATACTTCAAAAGAAGCGGTAATTACTTTAGGTGTTTCCGGATCTTTAGTAGTAGAACGCACTGGCGTAAGCCAAGATTGAGGAGTATTTCCAAGTTTCGGAAGTTTGTGGGAGGAATTTGAAGGGAAAATGATGATTTTACTTGTTTTAGTGTTTTTGTAGATAATAACGGCTTCGGGCTTTTGAATATCAGTGATGAGGACATCCAGGAGAATGTGCTCATGGTTATTAAACTGACCCTTGGAGGAAGAGACTCCTCCAGGGTCTCTGACAGTTTTTTTTTGAGACGAAATTTTGTATTTCCTTATATAGTAATTTTTATCAAATTCGAGATTTTCAAGAAAGAGTTTTTTTATTTTTGATTTAATTTCACCTCAGTACTATTAACATATATATCTAAAATAATATAAGAGTCTGTTTTAAATGTGGACAGGCAGGATATATAGCTTGGTATTGTCTTTTAGAAATGAATTTATATATCTAATCTTAATATCAACAACCTCAACAACCACAGCAAGTCAAGAAAGATAAACATATAAATCATATTACTATGAAAAAAACTTCTAAAGAAGAAGAATCCAGTGATGATGAAAAACAACTGATTTATATGAAACAAAAAGAAAGATCCAAACCATACAATATCAATTGAAAAAAATAAAAAGAAAAAGTCAAATGATTAGAATTAGCAAAGGAATTTAACTTGTGATCAAGAAAGAATACTGTTCAATTAATAGAAGATTTATTTATTCACTATTAGTCTTTTCCAGTTTAATTCACTTCTGCCAAATCAAAGAAAATGAAAATAAAGTTTCAACTATTTGTGATAAATCAACTTACACAATATAATATTTTAGAAGATATTCTTAAGTTATAATTAATCACCACTATAGAACAAATACTTCAATATCCAAACCAATAAAAGAATCTTGTCAAGATTCTCAAAAGACCAAAGAAAACAGTTAAAATAAACTATCTATATTCAGAAAATAATGCTAGAAAGATTTCATTAGTAAAATGTTATATAAGAATCAAAGGAAATTCAGTGATCGCCATTCTTGATTCAAAAGCAGCAGTTGGTATCATCATGAATAAACTGATACATAAGTTAGAATTGAAACCAGATACTCCATTCAAAACTATTATAATCGCTACAAATAAAAACAGAATCTATGTATTGGATTAAAATTACAAAAGCTCAAATCTTTATTCAAGATCTGATTATCCCAATCAAGTAATAGGTTATTGAATTACAAAAAGAAACTCTTATTTTAGGAATTGATTGGTTCAACATTTGTAGGAAAACTGGTAAACCCACAAATGAAAAATAATTTTATGTATTTGTCTCCTGTAAGTATTGAACTAGAGACATACATTTGAAGATCAGAAAGCACTACCTACTGTGCTATTGATTCACTAGTCATTTGTTGCTATTTTTTTTTCTTCAGAATTATAGAGTAAATATATAAATATAACAACTAGATCAATTTTTGGTTTAAATTTAAAATATATTGCATACCAGTACTTATTTTCTATGTAGATTTTGAATATCTGATTGCTTAGATCTTTATCAATTATTAAACAAGCACTATTTTTTGGCAATTGTGAGAGAGTGCTGATAATAATAATTTAATTATTAAGCTTCTTAAAATATTAATTAGCTCCTATGTGTCCATAATTGCTGGGTTGTATAAGAAGTATATAGTTAAATGTAATAGTAAGAGCTTATATAATATTAGCAAGAGCTCTTTTAAAGAGAAAAGATTAAAATATAATTTAGCCAATTTTGAGAAAATTTTATAAAACTTGCTGAGTTTTTGAATTCTATTTAAAAGAGAATTTAAGTCCTTTCTTATTGTAATAGAAAACAAATAGACTGTTTCATTGTTTAGGTTAAAAAAATTCTCAGGTAGTAGAAGGGGTTAAAGAAATATAAATTGAAAAGAAGAGTAAATTTGTAGTATGTATGCAATGTTGAAAAGATAGTTGATAGATATCTTTTTCCTTTAATTAATAGTGAGTACAAAAGTTTGATTATTATTTCTATTGAAATTTAGCTATAGGTTTCAAAAAGAGGTAAAAGGAACTTGTAGAGCAGCTGCTTGTATATGTGAAAGGGAAATTGTATGGTCACATGAGTCTATGCAATGATGATCCCAAAAATGACAAATCTGAGAAAAATAAGATATCTGTAATATATTTTTTTTCTTTGATTTCTTTGATTTATTTCAAATATTTTAATATAGTTGAGAAATTAGATATATTAGAAATAGTTAATATATTTGATATAATTTTTTGTAACTAGCATGTATATAAAGTGAGAGAAAATGTCTGAATAAACTTAACATCTATTTGTTTAAAAATCTAATTGCTAAACATCTAATTGTTCAAATAAACTATTATATAAATGTGTAACATTTGAAGGTGAAACTGTGACCATAAAGGACTTTGGAAAAGTTTCAGAGTAGTTGAAAGTGTGAATGTTCATTGCTACAACAGAAACTTAGGTATAGTTTGAGTAGACGAATGTGCATGCTAACAAATGGAAATTGAGTTTATTTTTGTAGAGTAAGAAAGATATTCGGACCAAATTATTACGCCTCAGCCTTAACAAATTTAATTATTAAACAGGACCTCGAAAGACCCTCACAAAATTTGGTGGTGACTGTGAAATTCAAGCAAAACAAAGTTTCATTACCCCCCCCTCCCCCCGATTTTTTTTCTTGTAAATGATTTCTTTTATTATTGAAAAAAAATATATACACAGGATGGCCCACGTCAAAGAACCTGTGGACTTTTTGAAAGATGAGTATGACGAATGATCAGGAGCAGCTACTCCCACTTGTGAAAACAATATGTACTCATTTTTGGGAGAGATTTTTAGAACTTGCCGTGATGCTACGGCAGAAGCAATGAGGAAGACACCCAAACGCCATGAACAGATTGGGTGAGAAACAAACTGGGTGCCAATAAGAATATACTACAGGACAGAACAAGAAGACCCCATAGAATGAATAGAGGCCTTCGAAAGAACAGCAATAGCAAACAATTGGACAAAACAAAAAAGAACACAGATTGCCTCTGGATACCTTACTGGGATAGCAGTCAGTTGGTATGATGATAATTGGTGCACCATAGACCACTGGGACGATGACGAACACAGGGATCGAAGTTTCGTCCCAAGGTTCATGGAATATTTCGCCACCTGAAACGAAGACACAAATGGCTGATAGAGCTCAACATGATAATACAAAAGAACGAAAAGAGAGTGAATACTTACGCATATTGGTTCAAGCAGTTGTTAAGACATGTCAACTCAGAACATCACCTGCCGACTACATACATCATACGATTGTTTACTGGCGGATTGAAAAAAGAGATTGCAAGGTTAATGCCACTGGTAGAGCCCACTACACTAAACGATGCGATCACAAGTGCATGAAAACTGGAAGCTGGAGAATACTATACCGGCAGAAAGAAGGAAAGTAACCCAGCTAATGACACCATCAGCAGCCTAACGAAACAAGTGCAAGAAATGTTATCAAAGCTGACTACAATGATAAGAGAAAAGAAAAATACCAGAAACCAGAGTTACCGACTCACTGGATGCTTCAATTGTGGAAAACAAGGACATAGAGCCCGTGAATGCCCCAAACCAAGAAGAATGCCACTACAAGTTGCCAACCCTCATGACACGAACCTTTGCGAAGTAGAAAATAGTGACGACGAAGCTTACGTTGCTACTAGATCACAACACTAGCTGTACACCATTAATCGTTCTAAAAAGTGTGAATTGAGTAAGGAACCTACTGGGAAAACTGTTAACCAGCCACGACAAACAGAACAAGCATGACCGGTACAACAGGAAGAGCACACCCAATCAACACAATCAATAGAAATAAAGATTATGGCAGAACCTGCAAAAAAGAATGCCATGTCATAAGTCAAGTATTAGAGAGGACCGTTAGTAGTAGACCAAGCACCCCTATACAACGTTGCAGAAAATTTGTTGAGTCAGAGAGCTAATGCCACATATGCCCAACTATTGCAAATTCCGAAGCAATGACAGCACCTGGCACAAGTATTGAAACGACCTATCATTACCCTTGCGAAAGTTAACTATGTGGAAGATCAGCTCTAATGAACCTCAGCAACTAGATGTAATGTGAAGATAAGAAACAAACCAGTCGTAGCAGTATTAAACTCTGAAACTGCAGTGAGCATTATGTCAAAAAAATTGCTTACCAAGCTCGGACTACAGATTTTGGAACCATCTAACGCTGTTATCATCACCGCGAATGGAACACAGGAAAGAGCTTTAGGAAAGTTGAAGGACATAGTACTACAACTAGGAAGAATCACTGTACCTCAGACTTTCAGGTTATAGAATCTATGGAAGAAATGATGTTATTAGGAATGAGTTGGTTTAAGAAGTTATGCACGCACCTATATTTCGACAAACAAAAATTAATCATTAATTATAAAGGAGAAAGCATAGAGCTACCTATTCATCAAGAAAAAGAAGTGAAAATAGAGGAACCGGAGGAGAAGGAAGAGGATTATAAGGAAGATGATTATTTCGACACATACGAGGAAGAAGATCTAGATAAAGTAGAAAGTTACTTGACTGACAATCAGGAGGACTTATATACCAACCCATGAATCGACGAGCACAGTCCAGCAGCATATTTGACAACAATTGAAGAAGTTTCGATACCCGAAGAAACCGAATGACCTATACGACCTCTGGAAGGAGTAATAGAAAAATTAGTGGATGCCGAAATCATTGACGATGACCAATGAAAGCAGGCTATTCACTTACTAGAAGAAAATGAGGAAGCCTTTGCTGACGAATTGGATCAACTGGGACAAACTGACAAAGTACTGCATGAAATCGATACTGGAGAAGCAAAGCCGATTAAACAACATGCATATAGAGTGTCTCCTAGTGAGCAAGAGTTTTTGGAAGAGGAAATCCAGAAAATAAAGGAAAAGAAATTGATTAGCGAAATTAAGAGCCTTTGGACATCTCTGATAGTGATAATCCCAAAAAAAGGAGGAAAATTATGATTATGCATAGACTATCGAAAGTTGAATGCAGTCACGAAGAAAGATTCATACCCTCTACTTAAGATTGACAACTTGTTAGAAGCTTTTGGGAAAGCAAATTAGTTTTCTAGTCTAGACCTAGCTAGCGGATATTGGCAGATCAAGATGAGAGAGAAAGATAGAAAGAAAACCGCGTTTATCACGAAACAAGAAACCTACATGTTTAACATAATGCCCTTTGGGTTATGTAACGCATCAGCGATGTTTCAGAGAACTATGGACCAGATACTTCACAAATATTTGGGAAAATTCGTAGTAGTATACCTCGATGACATTAATGTGTATTCGACGACTTTCGAGGAGTATGTAGAACACCTATGGAAAGTAATCACGAAGATCAGCAAAGCTGGACTAAGATTCAACAAAGAGAAGTGCCAGTTATTCAGGACAGAAATTCGATTCTTAGGACACATAGTAGGACGCAATGGAATCCAGCCGGATAAAGAGAAAATAATCAAAGTAAAAGAATTTCCGACGCCAACGAACCTAAGACAACTACAAGGATTCATCAGACTTGCATTATATTACCAACGTTTCATCAAGAACTTTGCAACAATCGTGAAGCCAATGCATAAGTTATTAGAAAAGGGAGTGAAATACGAATGGACACTAGTACAGGAACAAGTATACGAGAAACTTAAGACTTACCTGATCTCAGCACCTATCTTGCAGTACCCGGACTTCGAGCGAACATTTTATTTTCATACGAACGCTTCAGGAGTAGGATTAGGAGCCGTACTAACTCAGAGAGGAGAAGATAAGAAGGAATATGTTGTTGCGTACGCGAGTAAGAGCCTCACTAGAGCAGAGCGAAACTATGCAGCTACAGAATTGAAGTGTTACACAGTAATCTGGGCCGTGGAGTATTTTTACCACTACCTCAGATTTAAGCCATTCGTGATAATAACGGATCATTCAGCATTAAAATGGTTGCATAACACTACACTAAAAGGACAGAGAGCATGATGGATCTTACAATTACAGCCGTACCAGTATATTATTCAGCACAGAGCCAGATGGAAACACCATAATGCTGATGCACTATCTAGAATTCCGAATTATAAGGAACCAGCAGAAAAAAAAGGAATAGGAGACGAAAATTTAATTAATTATTGTCAGATGAAGTACCTAGGATATGAAACACGACCCACCCGAGAGTTGCGATATTGACTGACAGCCATAATCAAGAAAACAAGGAAATCCGACGAGAAACAAAATCCAGCCCAGGTTGTCGATGTCCTGGCATTAATAAGGATCAAGATAAAACAACAACAATACAACATGATCAAGACTTACCTATTGTACCAAAGGTACCCGCCAAATTTCGACAAGCAACAACAATGACGATTAAGAGCACAAAGCAAATTCTTTCGTATGCAAAACGACCAATTATTCAAAAAAAATAGATCAGTGAAGCAAAACAATTTGATCAGAGTTCTGACAGAAGCAGAAGTGGATTCAGTACTAGCATCAATATATGATCACCCACTGGGAGGCCATTTTTCGAAAGATGTGATGTTTAATAAGATTCGGGAGTACTATTATTGGCCGCAGATGTACAACGACATACGAGAATATGTTAGAACTTGCGAGCGATGTCAGAAAGCCAGAACGAAGAAGGAGAAGCTACTATTACACCCCATTCCCATGATATCACCTTTTTACAAGATTGGAATCGATATAGTTGAACCTTTACTGACGACACCTAGATTGAACAAGTATATCGTAGTAGCAATTGACTATATGACCAAGTGGCCGGAAGCACGTGCCATAAGAAGAAACACAGCCGAAGAAGTTGCCAAATTTATATATAAAGACATTATATGCAGACATGGATATCTGATACATATACTCACAAACCGAGGCATACATTTTAGGAATAGAACGATTGACAAATTAATGGCGATATTATAAGTGGAGCATCAGTATTCAACCCCATACCATCTGCAAATCAATGGATTAGTGGAGAGATTTAACAAGATCTTATGTAACTCGATTGTCCAATTAGTCATCAAGATAATGGAATAGAATACAATGATTCAGCTGATATTATTTGCTTATTACACCGCAAGACAAGCCACGACCTAGCAAACGCCTTTTATATTAACTTACGGAAAAGAAGCAAGATTACCTGCCCACCCGAGTGAATCTGAAGATTTACTTAATGGAACGTTCTTGCAGAGAATGTATGAGTTAACTACGAAAGTACTGAATACGAGGAAACAAGCGCTTTTACAGATTTAGGACAATCAACAAAAATAGAAGACAAATCCTGATCGGAAGTTGAAAGGCACTACTATTTTTGGAATTGGAGATAAAGTATTAGCTTACGATATGCAGCGAATGAACGCTCCGAGTCACAAGTTCGCACCTAAATGGAAAGAACCGTATTACGTACATGCTATACTTACAAATGGAGCTTACAAATTGAGGGAATTAGATGGGAAAGTTCTATCTATGCCGATTAATGGGACCCACTTGAAGAAATACTTGGAGAAGAAGCGTTGAGAATTGACTTTTTTATATATAAGAGGGCAATTCAGAGGATATTTTTTATTTTTTATTTTTATTATTATTTTATTTTTTTTTATTTTTATTTCTTATGGAAACAATAGAGGATCTCGTCAGATTTGATATTTTGTCTACTCAGCCGTTATCTGTAACGCCCGAAATATGTTCATATTACAAGAGTCAAGGATTTCAAGATCAAGTCATGTTAACTTATAATCGACTCAGGAGAGTTAGAAATATCAGAAATCGGATTAGCAGCCTTACTCATACGTATTATTTGAGAGCAAGGATACAGACACTTACCTTAGCAGAAAGACCTGTCGTACGAAGCATTTGACCGCGTATTATCTTAAAGTCGCGATCCGAACCTACTACCTTTTCGAACCACATGGAGTCGCGCAGATTTATCGAATAACATATACCACTCTTTCAATGATTGTCAAGCTCATGAAGCACGAATTTAATCGACTAATTATGGAAGAACCCGTAAAATGTGTTTTTTTTAGCGGAAGAGAATTGTGAAAGGGAAATTGCATGGTCACATAAGTCTATACAAAGATGATCCCAAAAATGATAAATCTGAGAAAAATGAGATATCTGTAATATATTTTTTTCCTTTGATTTCTTTGATTTATTTCAGATATTTAATATAGTTAAGAAATTAGATATATTAGAGATAGTTAATATATTTGATATAATTTTTTGTAATTAGCATGTATATAAAGTGAGAGAAAATGTTTGAATAAACTTAACATCTAATTATTATTGATTAAGCTTAATTTGAATTGAAATTTGATAATATTGTTATTTTAATATAATATAACCCTAAATATACTCTCTTTAAATATATTTATTATATTTTTTTTCTCTAAATATATAGTCAAGCTTGGCCTTAAATATATAAAATATTTAATAAAATCACTTTTTCTAATGTATATCCTTTATAAATATGTATTTTTTAAAATTTTACTATGATTCTAAGGGAAGTATATTTAAAGAAAATTTATTGTATATATAAATATACTTAAAATAATATATAGATTAATTAAATAATATATAGATAAATATATTCATACTTATATAGTAAAACAAAATTAATATATATATATACTGTATATATATTATTGAGAAAATTAAAAATAATTGAATAATTTTCTATTATCTTTAATTTTAATAACAATATTTTAAAAGTATCATTAAGTAATATTATAAATAACATATAATATATTATAATCATTATATTATTTTTGAAGAGTTAAATATAATATAAGTTGCATTAACTAATTTTTTGAATTTAATAAAAATTCTTTTTAATTAAGATTTATGTGAAATTATATATATTTATATATATTTATTAATCTAAAATTAAAATTTTTGTTATTTTCAAAAATAATTATTTATATTATTAATATAAAAAATTTTTTTATTTTATAAAATATTATTTACGTACAAACATTTTCCATATTTATAAGCGGTGATCTACTGAATTAGTACCGTGGAAAAAAATGCATAGTCAAGTGTTTACACTCAGTCGCCTTCATTTTTTCTTTGTTTCTTTTTTTTGCAAATTCTTTTCTGAGGTTAGTGACACTCTCCATGAAGCAATTCCTTGATCTCTACTGTAAAACGTTCCTGTAACTTCACGCAATTTTCATAATTTTACATGTGAACTCACATATATGAACGGGTCACGTGTTTTCCAAAATCGATTCAATTCAGACACGTTATCTTTGAAGGCGACAAAAATGCCAAATTTGATTTTATTTTTTTATATAATTCATATTTAGAATCGCAATTACAAGATCCAAAAAAAATTGTCTTCCTTTACCCATTTACATTTAAGCGATAATTGAAGTTCATAATTCGAAACAATGCAACTAGAATTACATTGTGATGAATATTACGTAAAAAGTAACATGCAAATATTCAAAGAAATTAAAACGATTTATCCAATAAAATATACCGAACTTACAATGTTGGTACGAGTTTTTTTTACTCCGATTTTATTGTACGCAAGCTTATGTAAAATTGTAATCAGATGC